AAATGTTCACTTGGTAGAGAAAATGGTGAGCATTAGTAATGTTTGAACAGAATCTGCAGCAAAATGTGTATATCTTTAATCGTTAAACATTAGAAAAGAAATTTGATTAGATCGAATTCTTTGAAATCAACTCGTTACCGTTTTATGTTATAACATTTTTATATAAAATCTATCCATTGTCGCATCCTAAGTTCCATACATAGAAGAATCTCACTAATCTAATACTTAATTACATGGAATAATTGTCATACCATAAACATTCGTTTTCGGCTCGATCACAGCGGAAAGTCTTGGTGGTAATATCCGTCGAGAACGATCTCGTTGGATTTTTTACTCGCGAGGGAAGGCCTTCAGATGCCCAACTTTGTTTTTAATGCTATTATAACAGTGAATAGAGGAAAGTGAACTGATAAAAACCCTAAAAGGATTTGGATCCATATTACTTCTTTCAAAAATTATGAATATATTTTGTTCTAAATAGAAACACTGTGTGCAGTAACAGTAAAAGTTCTATAACCCAGTCAAAACAAAGAATTAAGAGCTGATATTTTCTTCTGTACCTGTGGTACACTCTGATAGAAAATTTGAGCGTTATATCTTTCTAAATTCGCTAGTTATTGAATTTTTCTTGAAGGAAAACAGTGTTTTCCTAAAACAACTGAACATCCTAAAAACAAATCTATCTAACTTTTTTGTAAAGAGATGAAGCCCACTCTTTTATTTTGTTAGAACTTCCACTAAACAAGCTTTAAAAGTCCCTACATATCGCATTTTTTAATTTGCTTTATTACTGAGAAAATACACTTTTTCTAATTCAGGTGCGAAAATATCAGAATTCTGCCCATAATTCTCTGTTTTTTCCACCAGAACTCATTTTTAAGCAATAAAAAGATCATATTCAAAATCAGCTTCATGAACCGAAGGATCTACTTTTTCTTATCGTATCAGACCACTTTCATTTTTTTCGAATTTTCGCGTCGAAAAACTACTAAGGTTTTCATCATAAAGTGAAAATCAACGAAAATTTTCGAAATATATATCATTCGACTCAGTTTTCGTCTCTGAATATAGTATTTTTATTGCAATCCTTTGTTCTACCGTGTTTTTCTTACGGATGTGTTGTTTTGTACTACTACTGAATATAATTTGCAACGTCTTCAGAGACCACAGTATCGTGCAGCATTAGTTAATACAGTGCTATGCTATGATATAAACTATTGATATTCAAAAATAAAATAAAAAAACGTGCGGTAGTTAAATATCCTGCTCTAGAAAATTGTATGAATGAAATACATCATTGCAGATAACTTTAGTTAACTAAATGACGACTTGCATAGACGAAAATTAGTATCTGATCCTTTCTGTTTGTGTGGGCCTGTTGAAACCAGTGAATAATTTTATCTTCATTGTTCTCTGTATAATATTGAACGCTCTTTACTATTTGATAATGTATTAAAAATATTGCCTATGGTCTCAACTATTACAATACTCATGCTGAATGCTGCCCGATCTGCAATTATCGCATGACGAATGCGATAACATTTATGATTCTGTGCTGCGGTATATATATGCGACAAAGGGTCCCACAAGTTCAGTCTGAGTAACCTTTAATTTTAATATATCTAGCTGCCTCTTTGAACTGTTTGCAAGTTTTGTTCTCTTTATGGTTGTTTCTTGTTAATCATCATTTTATATTTCATTTTGAATCTTTGTTTTGGAAAAGAACTGCTCAACGAATGGTTATGTAACATCAACACACAGAGAGTTATCCCCACTTTTTCATTTTCTGTCCTGATTTTTATTCTTTTTCATATCATCCTTCCTTTTTCTGTGCTATTAGATCATCTCTTCACTTAGAGCTTTTTTACTTGTTTTTGTCTTTCTGTATTCTTGTTAAATACTTTTCGGTCCACGCCCGGCTCGGCCATTCTATAAACTTTACTGGCCCGTGCTGATCTCTCATATATATGTATACTACCTTGACAGCTATCTTCACATCCGGAGTCCGGACGGTCGATGATTTATAAGTGTTTTGTTACACCATAAGTACCCACATCAATCATTTTGATATCAGTTAGCGTTCGCACGCTAGTATGAATATTTTGACCATTGTACATGATCATAGCCGTTTCAAGACCATTATTGAGTCTAAATAACTTAACTACTAAGCAAGATCTAGAGGAAACGACACAAATTTACTCATATGACTCGCATTTTGTTTCGCTTTCTGTTAAATTTGGACATAGGAAATCTAAACTCAAAAATGCTCTTTATTTACAAGATTTAAAACCGTCATAGATTCTTGGTATGATTTCGTTTTTTTCTCGAATTATTTTGGATGTTGTCGCTTCCACCATAAAAATATTCTAGACTCTCTAACAAACAGCGTGTAAAGAAATAGTAAAACAGAAATAGGTGATAAATATTTGGTTACGACGTGTTGTGAAATATGTATATTTTTATGCGTCATCATTGTTATATTATTTGCAGGTAAATCAAGTAAATAAAAGAAACGAGATACGTTATTTACCTTGCTTAATAAATGAAAAAATGATGGGAATATTTTTGACTTTGCTTTACCAGTTTTGAAGGAAAACAGGTGGATGTATTTATACATAACGCGATAAGTTCTACAAAACAGACACAGTGAGGTTTTATCGGATAAAAGTCCTATATAAACCTCAAAGTTAAACATTATTTTCTACACACCCAAGTATCTCGTTACATAGTTACTATTTTGAATTTCCATGAAACGTGAACCGGAATATTTTAGTTCACATAATATATTCACAATTTATTCATTAACTGATCGTCCTTGCAAGAAATTTTTTCAGTTTTAAAGAGGCGGTATTATTTTACCCTATTCAACATTTTGATCATCGACTATCATATCATAATCAACAATATTATATTTTATAAGGCAAATTGAATTGGGTCTACGTTTTACTAAAAAGGTATATGAAGTAAATGGAAGAATATCTGACACCATATAAATCTAGAACAATTTGAATGCGCTAATTTTTTCAAAAGTTCTGGTATAACACTAAAGATTATCAGTTGAATTAACATAGATACAATATCATTGAATATTTGAAAATACATATGTAGTTCTACGCAAATTCAACCGGGTAATCTTCTAAAAAAATAAGAATAAATGAATGTGACTACTTCTTTCTTTGACTGTTGATCTAATGCTTGTTTGACCATCCTATTGAAATAAAAATACTTGTGCATAGCATCGCTATTCTTATACGAATTGAGAATGTAACTGAATGATATCGTTCTTTCAAGCAGAAGTAGACGACATGGTATCGTCCCATCCGTCTCGCATCTCTTTCGATCCCGTTTCACAATGGAACACCTGCAGAAGATTTTTATGACGAAGCGGAATGTTCAAATTTGAGTGACAGTGAACGTACCTCGACCGGTGATAGTCAGGTCACTCAACTACTACCACAACAATAATTAAGGTATAGCAACATTAACAAACGATAGTAACTATGGAATACTGTTCTCATCGGAAGATTCATTATCAGAATGTTTGAAAGCAACTTGTTTATCCGAAATGACAGACAACTGTGCAGCGATGACACATGTTAGATTCAAAGAATGAGGGGATGAATTGGTCTGTTTGTGTCTGAATGTTAGTCGTCACACGTAAGTAGGTATTTTCGTCGTTTGCATAAAAAATTTACTAAGGAAAGGAAACGGTTGAAAAAAGTAGAAAGCGACAATACTTCTGTATAATCCCACGTATACTTAAAACATAATAAAATCTACCTGTATATGTATCCAGTTCTTATTCCGCCGACTGACTCATCTGATGAAAGTACAATGACACTGATGAAAATAAACGTCGGAACAGGCACTGTGTACATGCACAGGTATGTTTGTCACTTCCGAATTTCCCGACTGCTTTTTTTCTTTAGTGAAAGTTAGGTACAGTGTGTGATAATAAAAGTAGTGGAATTCTAACCTGTTCAGGAAGCAGTTGCATACTTATAGGCTGAAAGTTAGAATACCGCATTTTCTCTATTAATTGTATGGTAGATAGTTTTTAGACGTGACGAAGAACATAGATGTACGATGCGGCGTATCTGTAAACTTATTTCCATTACAGTTATGGGTTTGATAGTGATCTTTTTATGGCCTTTACGCTTTGATGGCATGGTGAAATCTACAATCATCCCAAAATTAGCAACTGTAAACAACACCGAACATTTTAAAGGTACAGAAGTCGCTGACTGTGGTGTTTTTGAATATCTAACATCACTGCTGGGTTATTTTAGGCTTTTCAAATACGAAATTACTGCCATTAATTAAAAATACTAGCGTTTTTGAAGCTTCTTACAAAACTTCGTTCAATCCTTTAAGATTACTACCATTACTCACGAATATCAACGTTTCAAGAATATTATTAATTACCTACTTTCGTGGTGGATCAACGTTCTTAGGCGATTTATTACAGCAAAAATGGAAATCATTTTATCATTACGAACCATTCCATTATATGACAAACGGCATCCGAATTGACGACGCTGAAACTGCTGAAGCTTTCCAGTTAATGCATAATCTTTTCAAATGTGATTTTCTAAATAGTCTAAAATACTTAAGGTGGGTGTCAGTCGATGTACATCAGCATTTATTCGAATTTAACGGTTTTCTACAAGAATTATGCAAATTTCGATGGACTATTCTCATATGACGAAACATTAGATTGTTGTTTTCGAAGAAAAATATATCTCTACTGAACATCGAGCCCGTACATCGCTTTACTAGTCCCATGTTATACCTGCCAGCTAGAAAACAATATTACAGTTTATTATTGCTGTCGTTATAGTCCAAAACTTACTAGAAAATATACAACTCACCTATATTGTTCTTCAATTTCAATTTAATAAAACTCTTGAAATAGTGTAATATCTGAATATGACCATCCAGTCAGTTGTTTTGATCCATCATTCGTCCAACAAGTTTGTCTGCGATCATCCATGCAAATAATGAAAGTAGCCAGGTTACACATGAAACATATTGAACAACTCATGTCAACAGTCAAAAATGATTTGAATTTAAAAGTTGTATTTCTTGTTCGAGATCCAAGAGGAATATATAGCTCAAGAAAAGCTATGGACTGGTGTGTTAACACGCCTTGTATCGATGTTCAAAATTTATGCAATGAGATGCGTGTTGATTTAAAAGTTTTTAGACGTTTAAAACAGTCGAATCCTAATCAATTTAATTTAATAAAATATGAAGATTTATCATCTAATCCAGAGCGAGAAACACGAATCTTGTTCAAGCAGTTACAAATACCATATACGAAAACAGTGCAAAGATTTTTAGAAACTCACACCAGTGAAAAAATTCATTCAAATGATGTTGATAACCCGTATTCAACTAAACGAAATTCACGCGTCACGGCTTTTCAATGGCGAAATCGATTGAATATAACAGAAATCAATCAAATACAAAATTTATGTGAAGATGTTTTGTTTGAGCTAAATTATGATAATAGTACTACGCTTTTAAATAACCGAATAAAACTTTAAATCCCATGGGATCTTTTATTCCCTATTTACAGCGTTATAACACTATAAAACATCCTTTGTTGTAAGGTGCACGCAAAGCAAGGTTCGAGCAAAAAAATTTTTTTTTCGATGTTTCAGACACCATTCGATAGAGAATTTTACGGCGATCAGGAATATGTGTTCCCTGAAAATTTTCGATGCTTCCTTCTATCGTAAAAGTCAAAAAAACTTGAAGGGTGTCAAGA